ATAACTAATAAAATACAAATATTAAAATAATAAAATAATACTAAGATAAAATAATAAACTAATAAAATAAAACTATTCTATAATAGTGTAGATAGAAGATAGAGTTCAGAGACAGAGTATTTTATTAAGAGGTACTATAGTAAAAGAATTATTAATTCTATAGCATCTAACCTTCTTGCTATAACATGTCGTCTATATTCATTGTCTTCAAAAATATCAAAAAGTTTTGAAGATTCAGATTTAGTTATATATTTTGTTATATATTTAGTGAATCTATTTGAAGTAACATATTGAAAATTTATATGTACTCTCTAGATCAACAGGTTTCGGGATGTTAAAGAATAATCATTTGGTTTTTTTGTTTAGTATGATAATAGATATAATATAAATTGTTTAGATAGCAATATGTTCTTTCTGATAGAGGTTGAGAAAAGTCTTTTGAACATTGTTCATTGGTGGAGTCATGTTGTCTACATCTGTGATTACAGTGATATATCTAAAATGTTATAACTAATTGATATAGGTTGGTTCTATAAGAGGATCTGGAATGTCAGCTCTAATTATATTTAATAAAATTAATTTGTAAGTTTTTTTTTCAGTATAAGTAAAACTATATATATGAATTGTTCCTCTATTTTAAAACTCATCCTGTTCAAAGAAGTTTTCTCATTTTTCCCAACCAGATAGAACAGAATTTTTTTACAATTTGTTACAAATATTATTTAAAAAATTGCAGTAAAATATATAGACATATAAAAGACAATTTGTTGACAATGGATCTTAATTTTCTGTTGATAATAAGATTTCACATAATTGTAGCTATTTATCTTCAGCCATTGTCATTGTATAAAAAATTTGAGGTAATCCGTAAGCTTATATCATTGTATTGACTTGGTGTTGTTTTTTAAAGAAGGTAGTGGCAGTTCTGAAATAAGAAAAAATTGGGGTTGTTTTTAATTTATTAAGGATAACATGATTATTGTAAGAACTTTTAGCAATTAAATCAGCTCTTGTTAGATGATGTTCTTGATTGACATTTCGGGTGGATAGTAGTTGGTGTTGATTTTGAAAATTTTGTTTTTTTCTAAGATTAGATGGCCAATACTAATGTAGTCAAAATTGTGAATCAGGATATAACATTCTAAGTTTAAAATATTTACTATAACTATCTATGGATGGTTAAATGTTTAGTCACTTTTTTATATCTTCATAATGACCTCGGCCTCTTGGAAATAAATCAAAAAAGATTAAAGCTTTTAAATCAGGATTGTTAAAAAGGATTAGAAGATTTGTATTATCATTATTTATGATAAATTTGGCTATTAGACAGTTATGATTAGCATCTTGATTATGGATTTCTTGTAAAAAAAAAAATATTTAGAATTATTAAATCTGAAAGGTGAGGAATTTTATTAGAAAGAGTGTTTCGATATATATTAAAAGATAATATATGATTATTAAGTAATTGTGTTGCTAAAGATAAGAGGATAGGTATGCTACTTTTTGGAGATAGATAGATAGTGATTAAATTGAAATGATATTGTCTAATAAGAGTTTATTTTGTTTTAGCCAAGTTGAAGCTGAGATTAAGGAGATATGAAATCAAGTAGAAGGCTCATTAGAATTCAGATAAGCATCAACAGATCCAGAATAGATTTGTAAAGTTTAATAATTATATATAATTCTAATTAAAGTATCTGTTAGTATTAGCAGCACGACCTAATGAACAACTTAAATAGACAGGTGAAAGATATCTTTGATGCATTATAGGAACTTTTTGAATTTTAGAAAGAATGAAAGTTAATATAGGAAGGTAGTGATGTGTGTTTTGGTTTTTGCATCTATTGCAGACAGCAACTTGTTTAATATTTTATCTATTTACTCGTATATATATGAAAATATCAAATGCACTTGTTAAGTGATAAACTTTATCATTATGATAAGAAATCTAGTTCACAGAAGATTTCATTATTAATATTGAACAATTTGCATAAGGAATACATAAATAGTCATATAATATCTTAATTTAAAATTCTATTAGTAGGTTAGTACATTGAGAAATAGGATTATAGGAAGGTGATAAAAGAAAGTTGATTTTATTTAATAATCAAATATTTTCGGGAACAGGTGCATTCGGTAAGTTTTGATTTATTTTATTTTTAAAAGTATAAGGATCAAATGAATGATCGTTTTGTGAATTTTGAAGGTTTTCAAAATTTGATTATACAGTATTTATTGAAAAGTAATTAGAGGAAAAGTTTGAATTTAATAATTAGATATAATTATATTTTATGTGATCTGAAATTTCAATTTTTATTTTTTTTAAATTTTTTGATAAAATTGAAGTTTATTGAATTTTTTAACAATAAGTGGTTAAATCGATAGATATATATATATATTTTTCAATAAGTTAAATTTTATTTTTGTTTATCTGAATTGTTTATTTATTTGATATACACTTATTATATTTTTTTATTATTTAGAGCATGTAAAATTATTTATACTAATTCTTGTCACACTAAGTATCACTTATAACTACCTTCATCATAATTTTTTTTACATAATAAACTATATTTGTAATGATCATACTGTGACCAGGAATCTTCCTATAGAAGATTCCCAGTCTCATATTAATAATCAGGAATTTTATAATTTTTTGTAATTAGATAGAAAACCTTATGAGGCTCGAAATTAATAAAATTGTTAAACTGAGAAAAATTTTAAATCCAATTAATTAAATTAACATAAACAAGGCAGAAAATTTTATGATCGTAAATTTATTTAATATCAATTATATTGTTAATTACATTGTTGATTATATTGTCGATTATATATACAATTAAGTATTAATTATACAATATATTAAATTATGCCATTACACTAATATTAATGCTTATATTACTGCAATTTTCAATTGTAATATTAGAAATCTTCGCTTTCTTATATTTCATACCAGAATTAGCATTATTGTTGGGTTCAGCTTTAGATTCATCATCTTTAGCTTTGAACATGTTATCAGATTTAGTTTCAGACTCATCAACTTTGGCTTCATTAAATTTGTTGAAAAGTAAATCAAATGCTTTGGAAAATCTTTTATTAATATAATTCGAAGTTGAATCATTTAACACTATATGAGAATTAGGTTTATAAGAATCGAGTTCTAGAAAAAATAAATAAATCAGTATAAATAAGTTATAAAAAGTATTATTGTAACTATATATAATACTATTTACCTGTTTCGTCAATTGGAATTAAAAGAGAAACATTATTTCATTTATATTTCAATGATGATATTGATAAGCTGAAACTCTTGCAATAGTCTTGTGTTAAGAAAAAATCATTTGCTCATCTAATGTAACACCCAATTCTACAAGATTATGAATGTCTGTAGATCATATAGAGTGGTTAGTAATATAGTGACCTTTGAAATCTAGTTTAGCATCTTTGCAAATATTTTGCATCATAGTGTTATGTGATCCTTTTTTTCATTTTGATGTCAAATATTAATTACCACAATATACTTTTTTAGGAATATTTGTAGCAATGAAAAAGTAATCGCCTTCAACATTTTTTAGATATTTGGATAAATATTTTCGAATATTTGCAACTGGTGTATAAGAATTTTTTGAAATATCTGGTGATATCAAACTATCTCCAGATTCGGTATATAAATTTTTAATTCCTTCTGCATGATTTTTTTTTTAGGTATACCACCATCATCAAGTTTTTTAAGCCAAGATGATTTTAACCTTTTTGTGTCTTCACCTCTTAAACAGCATAATAAAGTTCGCCAGATCCAAACTCTCTGCAAAAGATCTTTTAGATTATTAACAGTCACAGCAGGTGAATTAAGTATAAACTTGATTGCATCAATTTTTAATAAACTAAATTGTTTGTGATTTTTATCACCATTATTAACAAGTGACTTCATATGACCATCTAATGTTCTGTGTAAACTTTTAAATTGATGCTTATCAAACAGATTTACAACCCATATATTTTCAAATAATTTAGAAACTCCTCATGCTAAAGCAGAAAACCCAGTATAAAGTGATGATGCTTTATATTCTTAACCATTTGATTTTCTTATTTCAACAATAAATTGTTCTAATTGATCTGATAATGTTTTATTGTCTAGCTCAACAATTTCATTTGAATAGTTATGTAGTTCATAAAACTTTATAAATAAAACATCTAAACATTTCTAGACTTGTCCGTATTTATATTTCTAAATGCTTGTTAAAATTCTGAAATAGCTTCTTCAGTTGTTGAGACAAATTGTAAATCAGTTTTTGTCATTTTTTATTAATGAAAGATTTAATAAAAAAAAAGTATTAGTGAAAAAGGCTTTACATTTAATAAAAAATAAAAGAAAGTTTTAAAAAAGAAATGGTTTAATGAAAGAAAAGTTTTAGTAAAAAAAAGTTATGATGAAAAAAATATCTATTAAAATGATTGTTATAAATAGTTAATTATATATTAAATCATGATAATTGTAATCAGATAAACATCTAGTAACACACTCTTGAGGATTATCTATTTATTTTTTGGGAGGAAATTATAACAAAGGTTACCAATGATTATATCATATGGAATGGCCCAAAGGGCCATCCCACGTGCTATGATTATCAGTAACCTTTGTTATAATTTTCCTCCAGGAAATAAATAATATGAATTTATTATTATTATTTCTTAACATGCTTAAAATTTTTTTATTTATTTGTTTTATATTTTTAAAAAAATAATATCTGACAGAAAGTAAGAGAAATTTAATCTGAATCTATTTCTTGACTATTAATTGTCCTATCAGAGATTTCTTGTACAGAAGGTTCATCTTCTCTGATTTGTTTAAATACATTGTTAAAATCAGATAATGATGAGCACTAGTCGAAAACTATGAATTTGACCTAGTCGAATTATAATAACATTCAGCAACAAATCAGCTGATTTTTTTAAAATTCAGTAGTTTCAACATTAATTTGACCTAATTTAGTCAAAAATTTGATAACTGAATTTTAATAAAATTCAACTATACCAATTTCTTCAATAACTCGATCTAATTTAGACAAAAATTCGACAACTGAATTTTAATAAAATCTGACTATATCGATTTCTTCAATAACTCAACCTAATTTAATCAAAAAATTCGATATCTGAATTTTAATAAAATTCAACTATATCAATTTCTTCAATAATTCAACCTAAATTAGGCAAAAGATTCAACAGCTGAATTTTAATAAAATTCAACTATGCCGATTTCTTCAATAATTCAACCTAATTTAGTCAAAAATTCGACATCCAAATTTTAATAAAATTCAACTATGCCAATTTCTTCAATAATTCAATTTAATTTAGTCAAAAATTTGATATCTGATTTTTAATCAAATTCGACTATACTGATTTCTTCAATAATTTGATCTAAATTTAGTCAAAAATTTGGAAATTAAATTGAATTGAATTTTAAAATCAAAATTTTGTCATATCATTTTTATATAAAAAATTGAACCATATTCGACTATATAACCAGCTTCATTATAAAATTCGTGCTGTATTCTACTTTATAATAGTATCAATTAAAGCGTGTCATAATCATCGTTATATAAAAAATTGAACCATATTCGACTACGTAACCAGCTTCATTATAAGCTTCATTATAAATTCATGCTTTATTTAATTAAAGCGCGTTATAATCATTTTTATATAAAAAATCGACCTATATTCGACTATATAATCAGCTTCATTATAAAATTCATGCTTTATTCAATTAAAGCACATCATAATCATTTTTACATAAAAAATCGACCTATATTCGACTATGTAATCAGCTTCATTATAAAATTCATGCTTTATTTAATTAAAGTGCATCATAATTATTTTTATATAAAAAATCGACCCATATTCGACTATGTAATTAGCTTCATAATAAAATTCATGCTTTATTTAATTAAAGCATGTCATAATCATTTTTACATAAAAAATCGATCTATATTCGACTATGTAATCAGCTTTATAATAAAATTTATGCCGTATTCTACTTTATAATAGTATCAATTAAAGCACATCATAATCAGCTTTACTAGAAAAAATCAAACCATATTCGACTATATAATCAGCTTCATTATAAAATTCATACTGTATTCAATTAAAGCACGCTATAATCATTTTTATATAAAAAATCGATTCATATTTGACTATGTAATCAGCTTCATAATAAAATTTATGCTGTATTCTACTTTATAATAGTATCAATTAAAGCATGTTATAATCAGCTTTACTAGAAAAAATCAAACCATATTCAACTATATAATCAGCTTTATTATAAAATTCATGCTATATTTAATTAAAGCGCGCTATAATCATTTTTATATAAAAAATCAACCTATATTCGACTATATAATCAGCTTTATAATAAAATTTATGCCATATTCTACTTTATAATAGTAACAATTAAAGCATGTCATAATCAGCTTTACTAGAAAAAATCAAACCATATTCGACTACATAATCAACTTCATTATAAAATTCATGCTGTATTCAATTAAAGCACATTATAATCATTTTTATATAAAAAATCGACCTATATTCAACTAAGTAATCAGCTTTATAATAAAATTTATGCCGTATTCTACTTTATAATAGTATTAATTAAAACATGTTATAATCAGCTTTACTAAAAAAAATCAAACCATATTTGACTATATAATCAGCTTCATAATAAAATTCATACCAAATTAAAGCTATAATCAGAAAAAATTGAACCATATTCGACTACAGTATATAGAATAAAAAATCGAACCACATTCTACTTATTAAATTAAAGTGCATCATAATCAGCTTTACAATAAAAAATCAAACCACATTCGACTTTAAATCAAGTAGCAAATTAAAGCGCATCATAATTATTATATAAAATATCAAATTAAAACACATCATAATCAACTTTACAATAAAAAAATCAAACCACATTCGACTTTGTAATCAAAATATCATACTAAAGCATATCATAATCAGCTTTACAATAAAAAATTAAACCACATTCGACTTATCAAATTAAAAAATGTCATAGTAGAGTATAATATAAAAAATAAATTTTTTATAAATATGTGCTACTTTTATAAAGAAACAGCTTGTTGTTTATGATAGTAACTTATTCATTTACAAACTACTACTCAATCTCTCTCTCAATCTTTCAATCTCTTTGTCTCTCAATTTCTCTCTCTGTCTCTCAATTTCTCTCTCTGTCTCTCAATCTTTCTCTCTGTCTCTCAATCTCTCTCTTTCTCTTTTTCTCTCTTTCTCTTTTTTTTTTTTTTTCTCTCTCTCTCTCTTTCTCTCTCTCTGTCTCTGTCTCTCTCTCTCTCTTTTTTTTTTTTTTTTTTTTTTTTTCTCTCTCTCTCTCAATCTCTCTTTCTCTCTTTTTTAACCTTTCTCAATCTCTCTCTCTAAAATGTCTTGAAAACAAAGTGCAAAGAACATTTTAAAATCCATTAACCAAGATTTATCCAATTTGGCTACTCAATCATCATCTCCTTTGACCCATAGAACATGTATGACTGTTAATTGCTATTACCAAAAATGTAATGGCAAATTAGTTGATCCTCACACCAAAAATCGACATTCTTTAACTATTAGCAAACAGTCTCAAATAGGATTTAATGAATTAAGGCAACCAACCCAGATTGCTTCAGAATTAAGTGGCCTGAGTCAACAATTGGTAACAACAATTGATTCAAGCTCAGATAATGAACTTCCATCTGGCCCTGATAATGAACTTCCATCTAGCTTTGATATGGATGACTTATTATTTTTACCAAGAAAACATTGTCAAATATCAACTGCTAAAATGACAGCTTTGAATCCAGAAGAATCGGCTACAACTTCGGGCGATGAAAGTAGTGATGATAATATCACACTGGATTATAATTGTGATAATGATGATGGTTTATTATTTGAAAAATTGGCTAAAGAAATTCGATATAGTAATATTAATGAATTTGAAGATTATTCAGCACTGGATATCGATTATGAAAAAGAATTTCAATCTAGCCCTAGAGCAGTGATGGGTTCGGGACAGTTGGGACATGCGCTGGGACATTTTGAAACATTTTAGAACATTTTTATAAATGAAAATTACTCAAAATTTTATTAAAATAATCTACTTTAATTTTTTTAAAAATATATTCAGTACTTACCAAAATATATAATTGTATATTTTTTAATTTAATTTATTAATTATTAAAACTTGGGACTTAGTTTGGGACATTTTGGGACACTGGGATATTTGGGACGTTGGAACACAGCAAAAAGCCTGGGACACTGTCTAAACCCATCACTACCTTCAAGACCTAACCGTAATACAACAACTGCTCACACAACAGCTACTCAAAATACAGCACAACATAGAATACTGTATACTTATAGCTGTCTTTGTAGTCTGCCAGACCAACAACATAATGATAACACT